CGTGTTCTTGGACAATATAGCGGCCTTCGACTATCGATCGCCCCGCACTGTGGAACGAACTGTTTGTGGAGATACAGAGTACCTGAGAAGTATGTTTTACTCATAAAAGCGGTCTATCACTAGACCTCGGGGAAGGTTAGGGCCTATGGTGAACTTTCACTCTCATTTCCTGTCACCAGTGGGGTGCGACAGAGTTACCCTATCCCTCCGTTCCTCTTCACATTTGCCATAGATGATGTTCTACCAAAAAGCGTTACGTAACGTAACGAACGCTGGCATCGAGCTTCTTCCTGGAGACAGAGTCGTAGACTTCGAGTATCCTGATGATATTGCCTTACTCGGTGACAACGCACCAATGATTCAAGAGTCGTTTCACCGTTTGGCAATTGAGGTTACTCGCTATGATATGTCCTTTGCACCTTCAAGGTGCAAGGTGTTGTTACAAGATTGGCAGAAACCCATTCCTGCACTTTGGTTGGGTAGGGACTCCCTGGAAGTAGTCGAAAGCTTTATCTACTTCGGGATCTGCATAACGGCAGGCGGTGTGGGCGATGAGATCTCTCAACGCGTGATCACAGCTAGATGAACGTTTGCTAATCTGAGGCATCTCTGGTGTCGGAGCGACATATCCCTTTCACTGAAAGGGCGTGGGTATTGCGTAACGGTACGCACCGTGTTGCTTTATGGCTGCGAAACCTGGACTCTCCGAGCAGACGACGTCCAACGATTGTCAGTCTTCGGCAACCGCTTTCCGCGCAACATCGCCCGCGTATGATGAGGGCATCGCGTGAATAACGATGAAGCCAGACGACGGATGCTAGGATCAGCTAGTCTTCCGCTGCGCAAAACAATCTCACAGCATCGTTTTAGGTGGCTAGGGCACGTCCTACGAATGCCTGAACACCGTCTGCCACACCGTGCACTATTCGCAGACGTCGGTCCAGGTTGGAAGAAACAGCGAGATGGGCAGGCTGTGAAGTGGTGCAGATGGTTAAAGAGACCGTGCTCGGATCTGGCTTCCGTTGGGGCTTCCCGACTCGCCGACTGGGGTCCCAAAGATTCAGGCTCTTTGACTGGAGACACTACGGGATATGGCATCGAATCGATTTTAGTAGCGCGAATGCATCCTTCGCTGTGTACAGTCCCAAAAAATAAACAAAAACGAAAAAGCTCAAAATGGTGTACAGTAAACAAAGAAAAATTGTTATTCCCCAAGTTGACTGCTTTGTTTTCACCACTTCTGTACTTACATTCTTTGTTATTTTGGCGCGGTATCTTTGAAGACTGGTTTATCATATAT